GAATTGGAAGCTTAGACTGGCGAAGCTATGCAGCATGGAGAACAAGGAATTGGGGGAAAAAAGTAATCTTGTGCCAGTGCTTCAGAACTGCAAATAAGATAACTTGGGTAACTGCTGACTAAAGTGGTGGTCAGATAAAAGTATGGGAAAAAAGATGCACTATTGAGTTAAAAAAATATAAAATTATAATATTAAAATAATATTTTACAATAGAATTAAAGTAATTAATGCAATCATTATTTCAAAGAAAAAGTTTTATTAAATAATATATTTTAAAGATACTGCAGATATAATTAATTATAGTAATTAATTGAGGTAGGTTGCTTAGACTTGTAAGTTCATGTAGTTCTATGTTTAATGTGATTCTTAAGACTTTCAGCTGTGTTGTCTGGAGATCATCAAAATGGAGGTTAGTGAAATGGAGACTAATTAGCAGTTTGATGTTGATGCAGTAAACTAGAGTTTGTTGTAAAGGAATCATTTAGTAATTTTTTTTAATTTAGTAGTTTGTTTGGTTTTTTAACAGAATTTGATACCACAATCCTAGCTTTTAATGCAAGAAGGAATACTTTCCAAAGTTGATGAAAGCTGTGAACATCAACCCTTTAAAAATCTCAGTCTGGTTTAAAGCTGTATATGAAACTCCCATGTAAAATAGTGTCTGGACTCGCTACTGATAGCTTTAGGAAGGCTGAAGGTTTGGTATTAATGCTGTGGCATTCCTTCTGCTCCTTATCCGTCTGAAGAGATCCTCCATGTTTTTCTTTTTATTGGTTCTTGAAGTTTGTTTGGGGAAAAAACATGTATCTGTACTGGGGAGGGCAAATACTGAGTTTTACCCAGGAAAGGCTGTTTTGTCTTTGGTGCAGATGTGATTCAGCCTGGCTCCTTGCCTGATGGTTCAGCTGCTGTTACCGTAAGGCTTCCTGGTATCTGCAAAAACCTGATAAGTTTAGAACTGCGTGCCTGAAGTTTTCATAACATTGATCCACGGTTCCAGTAAATAATCTGGAAGTAGAATTTAGGGAGGTAGCATTTGTTTTGGAAGAATCTATATTGACACAATACAAACTTTTTGTGAAGTGTCAGATTTGTTTGTTTATAATGTAGAGACTTTGGACTACATTCCAGCTTTTCAGTGGGCAGTTTCTACTTATGGCCACCACCCATTAGCTGACACTAATCAGTTTAATAATAGTCAGCTGCAGTTTTAATGAAGTTTTTTACAAAAATTGCCTGCTCAGCTGCTAAGAGGTGTGGGGAGTTACTACACAAACAGCAATGTATATTTGCCTTGGAATATTGTTGAGAAAATACTTTGCTATCACGGTAGTAGATAGCCAGATACTATAGGATTTTTTTTTTCAGTTGCCTCTTGATGATCTTTAGTTAATGCAGTTTTCACATTTCTTATAAGGGAGCCAGCCAAATTAAAGTATTGATAAATTTATTTTGAAATTCCAGGTTTAAAATTTATTAACTATTTGGTCCGTTTTCTTCTCTGTATAGTATTGCCCATTTTTAATGCTTTTTTTTCTACTCAAGATACTGCTTGGCTTGACTTGTATCTCAGTGCATTAATATGATTTCCTTTGTAGCAGTGTGGAAGATTTTCTGCTTATGTTCCAGGATGAAAAGAAAACTTTTTGCATAATTGATGCCCAAAGCTCAAACATGGATGCTTCTGGAGAGAAGTTGAAACGACCATGAGTAAATTTATGACTCGCGTCTAGAAGCTTCTCTGAAAAGCCATTCCTTTCTGCTTATTAATCGATGTTGCCTTTATCTTTTGCTCATTTACCTTAGTGTCATTATTGAGCAGTGTAAGGTGATTTTTATGACTGTGAACTTTCATTCACTCATTTATTGTTTATAGAGAATTTGAAAAATTGTGAAGCTGGTGTGTTTACTTAATATATTCTCTTTATCTATTCATTGAGAGCTCTATTCTACAGTGCATAATTGAACTTAAGAAGACATGGTCAGTATGTCTAATTTGATCCAAGGAATCAATGTTTATGTGAGAGTTTATTATAGTGTTCTTATTCTGAAAACAAATTACAAATAATCTGTAGAGATATATATATATATTTATTTATTTCTCTTTAGGCTTCCAACTTTGGTAATTCATAAGCCAGTTTTCAAAAAATGCCTTGGTATTTCTTGAAAGTTGATGGGTTTTTTTCATACTTCATTCTAAGATAGTGCATAATATAATAAATGGCAGTGAGCAAAATGTTGTGAAGCTGTCTCACTCTTCAAAAGGGTGGGGATGTACTACTGCTTTTTTTTTGTTGTTATTTCCACTAAATGTGTACTAATGGCCTACTAAATTAGCATTTCTGATCCTTATCTAGGAGATCTTTAATGCATTCATGAGTAGTTTCATAGATATCAATAACGGTGGAGGAGCTGGACTAATGTAAAGGTCAGCAGAGTGGTGGGGGTAGCTAATCGATTTTAATTGTTTTCTCGTATGGGATTTACTCCATTCAGGTTGTTCAGTATGTGTTCTACACATGTTCTTCATATAGGGAGGGAATAAATTTTTTTCTTCCCTTGAGGGGGCTATGGGATAATCTTACAAAGCTGTCTTTGCACAGAGCGTACTATTTCTAGAATCGGATGAGGAATTGAGGAAAGGAAGAGTTTTTGGCACTCGGTCAGTGATTAAATGCTGTAAAGTGTGAGGGGAGTATAGCGTGTCAAATGTACTCACTTTTTTCCGTTTCAGTTTCATATTAGTAGCAGAGAATTAACTTTGACCAGTAGAGTCCTTTTTTGTTTGAACAAAATATTTGAAAAGCCATCCTCTCTGGTTACATGTTTGGAAACATAAGTAATGAGGTGTCCCTAATGCTAATGAAACCTTAGCAGCAAATGAGAGCTTTGTGGACTAAAGAGCCTAAGTAGGACAGCAAAGGCTTTGTTCTGCTGTGAACTGGAGGAAGTCAGTCCTTAATGGTATTGGATGTTGGCTGCGTGCCAAAAGCACCTTTTGGAAACTTCTTTTTTTATGCCAGGCTAATGTTGTCAAAGTAATTTCAAAAATGAGTGGAATATAAAATAGAAAGGCTTCTTGAGATTGATGACATATTTTTATGCACATATGCAAAAGTGGTTTGACACTGAAGTATGGGAACTGGCTCCCTCCTCCCACACACAAACAATGCACATGCAGCTTTTCTGAAAACAGTATCAGGAACCTCACTTTATTTGATGAAAGATATTTAATGTGGAAATGTCCAGTTAGTGTAAAGTGGGTGCATCATAACAACATGAGATACAGGCCATGCTTTCCCAGATATATTAAAATCTTGTCTTTAGTCCCTCTCCTGTCTCTTGGCTGTTTATATGGTTCTCATGGTGAAACAGATCAGGGAAAGAGGTTGTGTTCCTGGTGGAGAGAATGATGGAGAGGCAGGAGCACGTGCCTGGTTGTGGAACAGGGTGGGTGCTTTTGGTTGGTAGTTCTTGCATGCCATTGGATTGATGTGTTCAAGGCAGTAACGGCCATGGTTGGTAGTCCATGGTGTAGGGCACTAAGAGCCGCAAGGCAAGATTTGAGAACAACCTTAATCCTACTATGTTCTTTTTTTATTGTTTTGTTGGTTGTATATAGTTGTGTTATCTTGGTGTCTCTTTTAGTGAAGACATTTTCCTTGAGTCTTAAGCTCTGCAGCATTTTATGGCATTTTTTGATTTTATTTCAGATCATCCTATTACATGCTGAAATTGAACTTAAATTGCTAATACTAGAGGTTGACATAATTTGTTAGGTTCAGGCAAGCTACTCAATCTGCAAGACACAGCTTCTGATAAATATCCCTCTCAGTTTTGTGTTAAGTTAAATAAACACTGACTTTAAACACTTTCTTTAGCTTTTTTTTTTTTTTGTACTTTTTATTTTCTTAATTTACCGTGAAATGTATTTGGATTCAGCATAAACAGGACACAAACTTTGATGTTGCAGTTGCTTGTCTTTTTTGATTACATCGTAAGCTGAAAATGCCCAAATTTTCCACTGTGGCAAATTTTTTAGCATAAAATACAAATATGTGCTAGACTAAAAGTATTTGCTAGACTGTATTTTGTACCTTTATTCATTCCTGCGCAATTCCTGGCCCCCACATTTCCACTTGTTTTTTGAATTTTCAACTTGTCCTAATTTGTGTATCCTCCACCTGTTGGTCAGTACAGAATACAGTGAAAGACTGATTTGAAGATGATTTGAAATACTAAAAATCCCCTACCTTTTTGTGGAAGCGTGGTTTATTTTAGACCGTTTCTCTTTGCTTCTGCTTTGCTATAACTTTCTAAATGGCTAAGGACAGGTTTGCTTTCTTTGGAATCTCTTGCTAGAGCTGATCGTGAAATGTGTATATAGATTTGCTTTAATAAATGTTTTTCGTATGCAACTACACCCAACTTTGTCATGCAGCTATAATTTGTAATATTTTTCTTTTCAGTGGGTAGTCATAAGAGTGGAAGTAATTTCTTTTTATCCAATGAAGTGACAACTTCTTGTGTTTTAAAACTGCCAAACACATCTCTTTTGTTGAAGATTGATTATTAGATAAAAAAGAGATCTATTTATTGGATAAATAAGACAAAGAGATCTCTTTGGTTATGTCTTTGATATCTTGGTGGAAAGATTCCCTTTTGAATGAAAGGATTTTTAAGGGGAAAAAAGCCCCATGTGTGCATTGTGAGAGTAAGCAAAGACTGCATACAACTTAAATTGCAAGTATTTAAAGCTGTTTTTACAGAAAGAGGTAGATCTGTGCTGGCACCTACAACTTACTGTTCTGGTATATGGCTGATATATATATATATATGTATACACACACACACGGCTGATTGATAACTTAAATTTAACTTCTATCCAAGTAGTAAGCATTCCCTCACAGCACAACTCATAAATAAATTACATGTTGTTTCTGGTGCTGCTGTGATTCTTAACTAATTCTGGATATTTTTGTTTCTTTTTGTTTTTAAAGGATCAGTTTGATAACTTGGACAAGCATACACAGTGGGGCATTGACTTCTTGGAGAAATATGCAAAATTTGTAAAAGAAAGGATAGAAATTGAGCAAAACTATGCAAAACAACTGAGGTAAGGATTTTTTCTTTTTCTTTTTGAAAGAATCTTAACTGTTACTTGAAATCTCTGTATCGGATGATAGACAAGTATGTAATATCGTGATTAATGACCATTTTTCATTTCCAGAGTGAATTAGATCACTACTTATTTTCATGACAGACAAGTTTTTCTTTACCAGTCCAAATCAGAAAATTGTCTTTGGGTGTGCACTTTTGCCTTCTTTCCTCCCTCTCTTCTCTCTCACCTTTCAAAACTTTGAACTTTAAGACTTAAATTTTAAAACAAAACCATATTAATATTTTTCCACTGACTCTCAGCATGTTTGTTGCAAAGTGCGTTATCCGTATCTACATTTTTGTGTGTGTTCAACCAGCTTTAAGCCTCTGCTGCTAATCCTATTCTCATGTTGAACTGGGAAGAACTATGCTACACTGTGTTAAAAAATCTGATTGAAATAATTGAGTAGAACTTGAGAAGGCAGCAGATCTTTCTGTCCTTAAAGCATGCTCTTTCTGTAGCTGGTCTTGTCCCTTTGGGGGACACTGTAACCCAGCCACCCTTTGTCTTACCTCTCCGGTTTACTATCTATTGGTGCTGAGTGAAACATCTTTTAGGTCCAGTAGAAATTTCCCATTAGGGATCATAGGAGGATCGTACAAGAAGAATAGCAGCAATGAAATGGCAGAGAAGCACATTCTTCAAAATAAAGAGGTGCGCGCAGTGCTTGAAGAACAAGATTTAAAATAAGACACTCCTGTGAACTTGGCCTTGGCAGTAATCTTTGCCGTCTTGAATTCCTTTGGGGATTCAGCTGAAGCTGCTGCCTGGCCCTTGTCAGGCTGAAACTGATAGCAGCTTCTCTCCTGTGGTGTCTTCTGTCATCTCATCGTTGGCACACTAGATTGTCAGCAGATACAGAGTTGAAGAATCTTCCTTTATAAATGCAGTCAGGAGCTCACAGCTGAGGGTATGGATGTTCTCTGTCTAGGCTGCTCATTTCCTTTTTCATGTCTTTATGAGTTTATGTTGAACGAATTGCATATATTCACCTAACATAATACCCTGTTACTTCACTGAAGGTTTTTTTTTCTTAAAAGGAAGGAAATAAATACCACTTTTCCAAAGCTGGTGTAGAAGAACTCCAGGAGGTAAAGGAAAGTTTGAAGCTTGCACGGCACTAGTTCACAGCCCAGTTTTGATTTGTTTTCAGTTGTCTGTTTAAAAATGGAAATGTGTTTTATTTGCACAGCTCTTTCTGGACCTTTTCCTTAAATAGTATGAACAAATTCCATTTTGCTTAATTTTATTTAAAGGTTCATTCCACAGCTAGCAAGATGAGACATCACATTATTACTCCAGGATTTGACTAAAAATAGGAAATCTTCTCTGTTCAGCATTTTACTCATTTGGGTGAAACTTTTTCTCAAAGTATCTTTGAAAAACGAAAAAGTTATGTCGAACACTCCTTCTGTCAGATGACTGGACTGACTGTCCATGTGCAGTAAGTATGACAGTTTTGGGAAGCACAGGTCTTGCTGCACACAGTTGTGTTGCACAGCGCATGCGTGCACTTACTGCCTGCTGCCAACCAGGGTCTGGACAGCACACACATGAGAGGGTGACTGATTTTCTGCCAGTAGACCAGTTCTGAAGCTACTCTTCCATATTCTTGCCTGTGTGTTCCTTGGGGGAGAGGTGGTTGTTAGCAGTGAACTGTCTTGTGATGACAACTTGATTTCAGCCATCATTGCTCTTGAGGACACTGACAGTTTTTAACCACGTAAAACAGTCATGAGGCCCAATGGGAGACTGAAATCAAGCAAAACTTTCACCTCCAGAAGAGTTAGCTGTCCTGCAGCTTGCTCCCGAGTAGTTTTGAGAGAGAAGATCTTGGGGATGGACTGTGGTTCTGGTGAATTTTAATGCTGGCAGCATGTGGCCTATGAGATAGATATTAGTATCTCCGATAGAGATTTCTAGTTTATCATTGTTTTTTCCTGTTGTAATGAAATGCAATCTGAAAAATAGTGTTGAGAATCTCTTCATAGCAAAGTTTATAGCTGAGATTTATTATGCCTTTTTTTTTTAGTAGATATATCAACAGTAGAGTGAGTGGTCATCTCTTGGTGGTTCGATGACTCTTAGTTCTTGGATGGGAGACCAAGAAAAAAAAGTTTTATGAGGGAGATAATGCTAGTGATGTATGGTGATATTTTTTTCTGTCTTGGTTTCAGTGTGGGCCATGAACATTCTGTTGAGGTTGTTGATGGATCGTATTCTCATAGACTTAAACCCAAGGATGAAAACTTGAGTGAATCTTTCATAACAGTTTTCACAAATTAGAATCTGTGTCCTGGCAGAAATTCAGATTCACTTTGTGTATACTCTTGTATTTTGATGAATTATTTTCTTTTACTGTCACAACTTAGTGATGAGACTTTCCCAGGTGCAACAGCTGTTTTGAGTCTTCTGGGAGATGACAAGTGATGCATGTACAGCATATGAGGAACTGTTTGAGTGAACTCACTATATTCTTACTGTACGCAGTTACGGCAGTTTATGGTGATGAGTAATTCCAGAAATGATAACTTGTGAGAGTCCTGTCCAAATATTGTTTTTAGTTTCCAAGTCATTCCTTGCTATTCTTCTTTGATAGGCAGTTCTTGATACTGAGAAAAAGTCTAAGAAAAACCGAAACCATTGAGGAATCCTGAAATGCCTAGGGAGAAAAAAACCAACCTGTCTAGAGAGCTTGTCTTGTCTTTTTCTGCAATATACTTTGTCCTGAAAAAAAAACCCCAGTTATAATTTCATTTTTGTGAGCTGACTTAAAGGAAAAATCTTAATTTTTGTGTAACTTATTGTGGTACCCCAACTATTGTGAAGGTAATTACAGGCTGTTACTGAATCACAAGGATGTGAACCACGACAAACATATTGTAATATACATTGTAGACTAACAGACTGCATTTTAATTATATGCCTCTTTAATTTGTTCGTATTTTATAATTGCAAAAAAAATAATAGATCTATTATGTGCCAAATTAGTGGGCTCATGGCTGAATTTTTAATTGAATTCTCAGATGCTGTTTTTTATCAGCACTGTTGCTTAAAAGGGGCGAGGTGAAGGTCTGTTTTGTTTACTTCCTAATTCTGGAGGTTCACTCCCTTTTTGTTCTGTCTGAAGCATTATGACACTTGAGAAGACAGAGTTCCACTCCCTGAGATGTTAGGCAGTAATACAAGTTATACCTGCAGTTACAGATGAAAATTAACACGCAGAATAAGATTTCTGAATTTGGTCAGCTTCTCTATTGTCAGTTTAAAGAAAATAGTGATGATTGTTCTTGAACTATTCAAGTATTTCCCTTTAAAATTGTACGTTGTGATATCTGGAGTTGGATAGTTAATCTGAGCAAGTGTATTTTTCATGTTCCTTCTGTGTACTATTGTATATAAGTGTGGCTTTCTTCTAAATAAAATATTAATGTGTGCACATCTTTTAAAAATGAGACGTGGTTACCACCTTTTTATATGTAGAATTTTGGAAACATTATTTAAAATGGACATAAGCTCAAATGTGAAGTTGGGGACACAAATTATTACCGTATGTTTTCATTTCTCAAATCTCTTCCTTTCATTGGAACTGAGAACTTATGCTGTTGATTGTTATCCAAATATGGATGTGGCAGGTTTTTTTCGTGATGTTTCTACAAGCCAAAACATATGCATTTTTAATGGTTCCAAAGATATCCAGCTTTGTAAACTCTTCAGTTAAAACTGTTTCTGATGACGTTACTAAACACGGTTCATGGTCATTGTTTTCATCCAGTCCATAATATTGATATGCAATTTCTGAAACCATCAGAACCCTATCGAAAGTATTACTTTACATATAAATATGAAATGCCTTTAAGCACTTACTGCATGCTTTTAGTAACTTACGAAAGCAGGTTGCAAAAATTGTTCCCAGGCTTGTTTGTAATACGATGTAGGAGCTGTAGAGGTTTAGTATAAGCAGATACCATAGTACCTGTGCTGCCACCTTAACACAAATTCTGCCATACTGATGTTGCTTCTCCTGTTCTTTATGTTCTATATAAATTGACTGAAGAAAACTTGAGTTGATAAATACAATTTTTATGCAAATGTCTGTAAAATTTTATGTAGATTTTTAATGTACATGACTAGAAATAATTTTAATTTATTAACTAAAGTGCTTTTTGAAACTTCTGGCTGTGTGACTGAGGTACTTACTCTCTTAAAGATCAGTACTATAGTCCAGGTTGGTATCTTACTGATGCTGACCCGAGACCAATTTATACTGAGAAGAGAGTTTGATAAAATTACAGGAGCAGCAAGTGGTTAGTTCAGTATGAAATCTGCTTCCAGATGGCAGTAAGACAGAGTGTGGTAGAAGTAGTCTAAATTGCAGCTCCAGAGAGCATTAAAGTGTCACCACTTTTCTAAGGAAGTATAGAGCAATTTATCCTGTGGATTTGGTTTGGTTCTGAATGTCTGCAATTACTTCTGCATTTGTCTTCTAACTAGTCCAAATTCATATTTGGATCCTGAGGATTAGATACACGTTTAGATAAAAATGTTAAAGAACGTTACGCCCCCTTAAAGTGTCAACTGGCTCCTCTTTGAAATGTTGTTTCTCTCTTCAGATCCACGCTCACACTAGCTGCTTGTCAACATGCATTTTTTCAAAGATTTAAATCCAACTTTTCTGTTTTTTCTAAGTGCTGGTGTTCACTTCTTGGAAAAGCCATTTATGCTTCATTGTTCATTTGAACACTGGCTTTTTCTTTGAACTTTAAATTCTGCATCTGCTTGTCATTTTGTCTTTATTGACTTTGATTGCTATACCTTGTACTGTTATGGAATCTTAAGTCCTGATCACAGTGTCTCAAAACTGTATGTTCCTGTGATTATAAGGTTGACAAGGTTGACTAATGAAACTGACTTTTAGTAGGAGAAAGGATTACATACTATTTTTGTCTTCCTAGAAATAGTAAACAGTTGCATTAAAAAATGAAACGGACAGAAATCAGCATGATAGTCAATAATATGTTTCTGACTCTTCTCTCCTGCCATTTTAAACTGTATGTTTTTAGTAAGTGGTTTCTTTTCCTGTTTTTGACACCTCTGAAAATCTTCCCTTGAAGAGGCTCGTGCGTGGTTGCTTAGCTACAGCATTGTATGCTTGTTATGCATTTCACCTTCTGAATAATAATAATGTGAATTTTAGGAGTTTCCCATTCATTAAGAAGGATTGAGGAGCAAAGCATGAATATAAGGGAAAATAAAACATGGGAAAGTTACTTAGTGAAGAAAATGTTTCTTCTTTTTTTTTTCTTTTGCTTGGGTTTATGCATTTTCCAAGCAAAACGTCTGCATTCAAACCCTACCAAGTAGAATGTTAAAACAGGCAGTGGATTCTGGTGACAGCAAAAAGATATTCTTGTTTTAACTTCAGTGAGAAAGTTCTTACAAGCAGTGTATGCCTGTGTTAATTATGCTCTAGGGTAGAATAGGTGATGTGGTCTGTATATTTCTTAAGGTGCTGTTTTGTATTTTATGAAAAGGAAATGAATTTATATCAGTGTTGTCAGAAATTGGACTGTGATACTATGTAAAGAGCTGGTCCCATGGATTCTCTTTCAGAGATCTTCTTGGTTTCTAAAACCTGATATTTACAACATTGGTGGTAGGGCAAAATGTAACACCTTTCCTGAAAGGAGATGCTCCCTCTTCTGTTCTGGAAATATCTGTATTGAAGATCTGGGGACACCGTGATTAAAACCTTTGACCTGAATGTACACTCAAAGCTTATTCAGTCATGGAGTTTTGTGCTCATGGGTGTAGCACACAGTGTGCGCTTTCTGTATGTTACACAGTCATCATATGTTTGCTTTTTTCTTGTCTGCTGGCTGCCTTTTGCATGTGTGAAAAGGATGTTAAATAAAGAACTCATTATTGTTTGTCTAGTCACTGTGCAGTAGAGGTTTTAAAATACTTGCATTGTTCTAGGTCAAAGTGACTTAAAAATGGAAATGCCATAGATTTCTGCCTTGTGTCATCTAAAGGATCCTTATAAGATGATAGAGGGAATAGATTTATTTCTTGAAGTAATTAAAAGTAAATAACTTGTTCATGCAGTTTTCAGTGTGTATGTCTTCTCAAAAGATACTCTAAAATAACATCTTTTTTTTCCTTCTTCCTTAATAGAAATCTGGTTAAGAAGTACTGTCCTAAACGTTCAACCAAAGATGAGGAACCCAGGTAAAAATGTACATTTCAAGTTCTTTGTATAAGAAACAAGGACTACAATATACTCTTTTTTCTCTTAAAAGATAAAGTACTTAGTTGGTTAAGACAACAAAAGAATTCTGCTTGGCTTCTTATAGTTCTGCTGTAATTCTTAAACATGAAACCTGAGTTTATTTCTATTAGTGTTTTAAAGTAGTAAACATGGCAGATTGTGCTTGCTCCCAAATTAACCTTCAGCTAGCTGAAAAGTTGGAAAGCAGAAGTTTAGTATGCTGTCTGTAGTCTGGTATATTATTTTTTTTTAGGCTGTGTTTTTTTGCTTAGTTTAGTGTAGTATTTCAGTGCATTTGTATGGCAATACAAATGTAGCTATACATTTGTATACTGAGACTTGAGCATACAGTAAATTGTCATGTTTTTGGCAAGAAGAGCTCTTAAAACTGCTGGCTTGCTTTCAATCCGGAGACAAAATCAGTGAATATCTAACTGTGGAGGAGCAATTTGCACTAAAAACCATTATGATTATTTTTCAGAGGTGTTTGTTCTGCTATCTGTGTCCGTAGCCATTTTTAATTTATTTAGAAAAACACAATGCTCTTTTCTTTAGGGATAACTTCTACATAGGAAAGAAAGTGGGCAAGTTTCAGGTTGCAGCCAGAGCACATGCTGTGCAGAGTGCCTGAGAACTCGCACTAGGATTTCCTCTGGCACTTTCGACTATTTAAAGATCCTGGACCACAGGGAATGGGATTTCTAGTGCTAGGGTGGCATTTGAATTCCCCAGATCCAGGCCTATGGAGGTGGCAGTATTCCACAGTTCACAGAGAGAAAGATGTCTGTTTTAATGTGGTGCCTGTTTTTTGTTTCCTTTCTTCCCTTCCACACACACTTTCTACCCTTTGCCCCTCCTCTTCCCCCCTTTTCAGTGCCAGCCATAGTGGCACCTTACTTCCAGCCAAGAGGTGGGCAGGCAAACAGGCAGCTGTCTCCAGAGCTGATAGCAAACTTGTTCTGTAGATCATCCATCGGGATGCATAAGAGTGGTATGATTGGCATGTTCCACCCTCAAGACTACCAAGCACATCATCTCTGCAGCAAGTTCAGCCTCCGAGCCCAGGGACGTATGTACACGTTCCCTAGCTCAGGCCTCTCAGTTGGCAGCTTAGGAGATGCCACTATACCACAGGGCTTTCCAGGTAGTATTCTTCTTCTTTCTTTTCCGTCCACAAAAATCCATATTTTAAAATGTATTTGAAGAGACATTGCAACATATAGTACATCTTAGGCTTAACGTAGGCTTTCCCAACTTGCGCTTCTACTGTATGTAATTCAATTAGCATTAAGATAAAGTTTACTGTAAAATACATGTGATTGTTTTTTTTTATTTGGCCAGGAGTACAGACTGTACTAAAAGAAGTCCCATTTTAAAAAAATGTCTCACTTTTTGTATATGTATGTTTGTGTGTGTGTGCTTTTTGTCAGGTTTACTTCGTGTATTGCCTTTTTTAACATCCTTAATGAGTTGAATGACTATGCAGGACAACGAGAAGTAGTTGCAGAAGAAATGGGACACAGAGTGTACGGAGAATTGATGAGATATTCTCATGATCTAAAAACTGAGAGAAAAATGGTAATTTCTATATTTTTATTGGATAATAGGATATCAAAATGGACGTGTCTTTTAATGAATTGATGTATTTGTTTACCCAATTAATGAACTTGGCAATAAGTAGGTTTCGTAATACATTGGTAAAACACATTTAAAGTTATTCCGTATTTTTATGTATAGTTATTAAATGTAAAAATTAAGATTTTTGGAGAGACAGTGCTTACTGTCCAGTGTAGTTTTTTCTTTTAGCCAGTATAATTTTTTGTAATGTGGGGTTCTATTCTTACATGATTAGTAATGTCTTCCAAAGAGTACTGGTAACGTGTGGGAGATACTGCACATCATAGCGTGTCAGCTAGAGGAGGGACTAACTAATGGGAATAGTACTAAAAAGATAAGTACATTAAATTTATTTCTGGTGTTTTTAGCATCTTCAGGAAGGGCGAAAGGCTCAGCAGTATCTGGACATGTGTTGGAAACAGATGGATAATGTGAGTTTGCTTTTTTTTCCCCCCTAAAATAATAGTTTGTAAATAAAACTGTTGTCATCTTGCTTGCTTAGACTTTAATGTTTAGCTATATTACTGAACATCCAAATTGGACTTAGTAACACTCAAAATACAGTTCAATATATTTGTAGTTCCCTGTTTTAAAAACATCTCCTGTAAATAGCTTCTGTGTGTGTTTGCCTGAGTTTTGGCTTTTATCCAGCATAAAGGAATCTGTTTTTTAACATGGGTCGACGCTTCTTCGGTTGCTTTTCCGCAGGCTGCTTTTTTTTTAGAGAGCAATAGTGACAATTTATTTATATGAAGATGAAATACTAAGTCACTGTGTTTGACTTGAGTTTGAGGATTTTTTACATGAGGTCTATTCAAGGATGCCACTACAGACTATTATACTTTCAGGAGGGAGAATTCTTTTTTAACAAAGAAATGCAGGAAGTGAATTTCTGTAGAACAGATTATAACATCCTTTTTCTTGAGAGACATGCTTTTAAGGACGAGAAAATACAGAATTCGACCAAATGTGTTCAAGATGCATTCTGATATTCTGCTGGTTTTGTATCTTAGAATTTATTAAATCTTTATTATTGTGAAGCAGTACTGGAGAGGTGGATTTCTGTTTTGCTGTTGTGGACTCAGCAACTTCAGTGTCATGTCAGAGTTTAATTCATGGTCAGAGGACCAGAGTAGGAGCAGATGTGGTAGTTTTAGATGCTTCACAAGATAACTCCCAGAGTTCACCTCAAACAATCAGTTGTGTTGTGTGCACTGTATTTACTTGAGCGGAAAGATGCTCTTTTAAACACACACAGCCTTTAAGGGACACGTTAGCCTCAGTTGCCTGACTGCACTGAGGCAGGAGAGGAGTGCTCACACATCTCTGTTGCCAGTTTGTCTCTAGAGATACCAACTTCTGGAGCTGCAACAGTTTTTCCTGCAGCAGTTGTCTTGACAACAGCCAGATATCACCAACATCAATTGAATACTGTTGTATTCTGTGAATAATGTTGTCTGTCTGTGCTGCTCACAGCTGTGGCAGTTGATACGAGTACTGATGATAATGGATGGGTACACTAAGGTCTGCTAGTGTAGATAGATCCTTCAGGCTACCCTCAAAATAGTTTAGTTGAATTTATTAAATTAAAATTGATCACCAAAGAAGGGAACTTGAAAATTTTACTCGTACAAGTCCAGGTTTAATTTTTCTGCCCCCTAACTTTTATTTAGGTTATTGAAGTCAGGCTAGAAAGTGGACTTGTCTCTATAATTAACTGCAGATCTTTGTAATAGGTTACTTTGTATTTCAATTATCTAATATGTTATAGTATAAATACAGTTGTTTCCTTGCTGGTACTTAAAGGAAATAAGTTGAAAATTTTTTAGACTTGATTGCTGTGAGAACAATGTATTTACTTAAAGATACTTAGTGAATTCAAGATATTTAAATGGAAGCTTTGATATTTAGAATTCAAAATTACTGTACAAAATCAGAAGGGGATAGTGGCTGTTGAAACATAAAGTTTGTGGCTTTTGTAGAGCAAAAAGAAATTTGAGAGAGAATGCAGAGAGGCAGAGAAGGCACAGCAAAGCTATGAAAGACTGGACAACGACACTAATGCGACAAAGGCTGATGTTGAGAAGGTAAGAGCTGTGCCATTTCTTTCTTTACTCTTTATTATAAAAAACGTTTTATTTGCATGTTTGTCACAGTCCTGGAACAACATTCTTTGAGTATATAAAATCATGTATATTGCTTATTATACACTAAATCAAAGTTAAGACAGCACAGAGAGGGAGGACACTTCATTAGTCTGGAGATGATGAATGTCTTCCTTAAACAGACAGGCTTACTGAGATTTGGTATCTTGTGCTATATATGTCCAGTCACTTCTATGTTTTCTGTGCACTTCTATGCATTTAGGTGACGTGGAGAAGGGACCTAAAATGATCATTGCTCTCTCTGAATGTAACAAATTAGGTCTGTAGACTGTCAGTATATATGAAGTCTCACATCCTTTTTATTTGAGTTATAGGAATGTCAGTTTTGATGACTTGTGATTACTGTTTTTGTATAGTTGGTAACATAAATTAAAATTATGCTATATGTCATTGAAAAGCACAAGACATGTTTGAACTGGTAACACTTTCCTACTAGGCTAAGCAACAGTTAAACCTGCGCACGCATATGGCTGATGAAAACAAAAATGAATACGCTGCACAACTACAGAATTTTAATGGAGAGCAACACAAACACTACTACATTGTCATTCCTCAGATTTACAAGGTAAAATAATTAACATAGTATGCCTTACCTTCTTTTAAGGGAGAAGTAGATTTTAAAATTTAAAACTTTATTTTGGGGATTTTAGTAGATGATTTTGTGAAGAAATTAGCATAATACTGATACAATCTGTGTGTTATCATGAGGCTTACTGCTTACAGTAATTATGTTTAGACTATATGAAAATATTCTGTTGCATCTTCTGTGAAGATTTTATATTTTATAGACTTTGTTTAAATATTGCTGAAGAAATGTGGCAAAATAAACATTTGAGACATCTGGGTGAGATCAGATATTTAAAACAATCATTCTAATAGGGTTTGATCACTAGATCTGTTGATACTTGTGCACGTGAATGCTTTGACTCTGGCAGAGATGAAGGCAGGCATGTAGCTAATGGAGACTTCGGGGTTTAATGTGTCTCATGGATGGATTGGAGGCAGAAGTACTTCTCCCACCCCAGTTGGTCATTGCTTCATCAGTATTGCCATCTAAAATAATAAAAAAAGTTAAATGTCAAATTAGATTAATACTTTGCATTTAAAAGGAGGATTTCTCAAGGTGCTTCATGTAATTATTTAAGTGGGTTTTTTTAAGTTTCTTTCAAAAACAGAGACACTTTGCAAAACTAGTTTAAAGTAAAGTAGTTGGGAGGCATCAGATGAGGGAGAGTTCAGAAGAGTATTGGGATGTACATTCAGCCACAGAGAATACAGTGACTGTAGAAACTGATTCCAGAACTCCAAAACATGGAGTAAGGAAAGTAAAAATACTGACTTTATTTGAAGGTGTTCTGACTTAAGAATGCTTGATAGAAGCACAAGGGAGTTAGTATTTTTAAAAAACATTTATTAGAAGGCCTAGGATTCACAGGGAAAAAAATTGCCTTGGCTTATTAAAGAATTTTCTAATATTTTAGCTGTTAGGCAGCCCTGCAGTAGATGTGACGTTAGCAGACTGATGGAGGAATTGCAGTCAACTCCCAAGAGAAACAGTTCGATCTTCTTTGTTTGTAACTTGGACCAGAGTTTTGGTTTATTGCCTTTATTTCTCTGGGGTTAAAATCCATTATGTTTTTTGAAATCTCCAGTATGAGCTGAAAGGCCTAGTCCTGCTTTCTCTTGGGTCTATATTTTTATTATTTCCTTGCAAGTATTTGGTGACATTCTATGGGAGAACCTTGAAAGATGGATTTAGCATGATTGGGCTGTTGCTTTCCTTCGGGGAGAGGAAATTGGATGTTGTTTGAGACTTCGGCCTTTGTTAGAGTAGATACAGGAACAGATCCAACTTCTTATCCTGCTTTTGATAACCTATTGATGCATGTACTATTGCTTTTTAGTTTGTTTTGAGGTTTTTTTCCACCTTTAGTTAGGTCCAGGGCTATTATCTTAATAGTATTTCTCTTTAATTTGCTCTTTTTGTTGTGTTCCAGTAGACTTGTACTACAAATCTTATGTAATGGTATTCTTTTCTTTATTTTCTTGCACACTTCTAAAGGAAATGGTTTGTATTTCAAATCAGAGAGCATGTCTAAACAGCATATAAATATTTCTAAATTTTGTTATTTTTTTAATAATTGGTATTTATTGGAAAGTATAAAAAGAAAGGCAAGATAGAGATATTTATCACCAGAGAGAAATTATTTGGAACTAGGAGAGGGTGAAGAAATTCTTTAGTGTAGTTTTCATTTCTGCATGAAACAAATATTTTAAACTAAATAGGTGGCTGTAGGCACTGTCCATGTGCTTTGAAAAAAGAATAAGGAAAGGAAAGTCCAGTCCTTTACATAATTTTTAAAAATCAGAGAGTATCAGCTCTTCGAAATTACTGTTCTGAGCATCTTAAGTCTATATCTGAAAGGACTCGATTTTTTAACTTAATTGAGTTCTGGTTTGTTAAGCAAATAAAATTCTGGGAAAGCACAGAAAATCTGTACTACATTGTTACTGTGGTGGCCACAGTAACTGCATACATCAGGATTGGGGGGAAAAAGTATCCGCCAATAAAAGCTTTATTTTATCGTACTTTGTGCTTGCAGCAACTCCAAGAAATGGATGAAAGAAGGACTATCAAACTTAGTGAATGTTACAAAGGCTTTGCTGACTCTGAGCGCAAGGTTATTCCGATTATCTCTAAATGTCTAGAAGGGATGATCCTTGCAGCAAAATCTGTTGATGAACACAGAGTAAGTAGACTTGAGTGACTTCTCAAATGCGCGTGAGCAATTTAACTGGTCTGGAAGCTGCGGAGAGGGCAGAGATGGACTTTGTACATTTATCTTTCTCTTGTCAAATATTTGTCTGCTTGAAAAGTGTTGTGACTTCAGTTTTAGCCTGAATGGTCATTTCCACTTTTGGTGTTTGTTCTCTTGCTGTTTTATTGCTTTCTCATGCTCATGCTTTCTCATGTCACTTTGTCACTGTATGTGATTTTGGAGACATTGTTTCAGTTATCCTGAAACATCCTAGAACACCAGCATGGTTGGTATTTTCTCCTGTGTCTAGCATTAAATTATATAAAGGGTGTTCGATTAAAAAAGTGTTCTGTTTGATTGCAGCTACTGACACTTCTTTCTTAGTCCTTTTAATATGGGCTCTTCCCTACTATATCTTACTACACCTACGTTCTTAGTGTTGTCTTCAGTGCTCATGTTGAAGGATTAGAAGGGGGGGTGGTTGGGCCCTAAAGCGTGTCCTGTATTAAATTTGTGTTAAGCCTTGGGGAGTATTTGCTGGATTCTGGAGAGCAGGGTGTGCTTTGATTCACACTGGTGGTAACAATGCCGAGAAAAAAGAACATGTGTTATCTTAACTTGCTCTACCCAAACCCGTGCATTCTGAGCGCTCTCTCACTTTCCCATCTGTGTATCTCTGCAATTAAAGGGAAAATTTATGTCTCTGTGTTTTTTCGCTCTCCACTTCCTGATGGGTTTGCTTGTTTTGCTTTTTAAACTCCTGAATGTCTTACATTTAGGACTCTCAACTAGTGATAGACTGCTTCAAATCCGGTTTTGAGCCTCCTGGAGATTTTCCATTTGAAGATTACAGTCAGAATATTTACAGAACCATCTCTGATGGAACCATCAGCACACCAAAGCAGGAAGGAATGAGAATTGATTCAAAAACTACAGTGGGCAAGGCTAAAGGAAAGCTGTGGCTATTTGGAAAGAAGCCAAAGGTAACAATTAAGAAATTACTATTTGGAAAATTCAAATGTGAAGATACAGAGTGCGTGGAAGTAGCAATTTATTTATTTTAAAATAACCTTCCTCTTGCCTGCCACTGCCTTTTGAAATATGTGTAAGGAGATCTGAAGGTGTGAGTAGGGCTGGATACCTACCGTATTAAAAATCAAGTTCTCACTGGGGGAAGTTTTCCAGTTTTTCTTCTAGAGATTTGTGTCTGGGAATGTTTTTAATAGTTATTTGATAAAGTAGCTTCCCATTTCTGTAACATTTGTAAGTTTCTCTAAAGACTTTCTGCAATTGCATAGAGAAGGTATTAATTGTAAATGTAAAAATAAGGGGAGGGGAGTATGTTTTGGAACCAGGCAGACTTCAGATCTCTCTTTTATACTACAAAAAGCAACCCCCTTCTAAATGTCCTTTCTTGTATTATTATATGAGTTTCAAGTAACACTTTCTGTGCAAGATGCCTTCATGGATCAAGATTATCAATACATGCATTAGCTGTATAAATGAATAATGAAGCATATACATATTTAAATTTTATGCTACATCTTTATTTAGTGTTAGAGCATATCAGTGAGTCATTTTAATGATTCCCACAAATTTCTATGAAGTTATTTTAATGCTCCAAGTCAGTTTCTGCCATTTATTACAGGAGACTATTCTCAGAGCTTGTTAGTGGTAGGATTTATTTCCCACTTGATAGCATTCCAAGAAAGCAGATCTTTACAGAAAGGAAGGATATAGCCGATTCTTTGTTCCCTCCCCAGTATATTATGTAACTGCAGCTGTGTGTTAAAATGAAAACTGATTGTTTACTTTTCATGTAGTATAATTAATGATTGATAATAGTTTAAATGCATTAATGCATTAGCATATTTATTGTGTTTGGCTGCAGAGGTGGGTGGAATTCAGCCTGTTCTAAAATTAGATCTTGATTACCAGTTTGACAGGACATCTTTCTGAGAATTTTGGAGAGGGAAGCTATGAAAATCTGCATTGGTTTTCAATCTGGACCTTGGCATTTCCTGTAGTGACAAGAAATTCCTTACGACAGTTGAAGAAAGCTGAGAGGACCCTTCCCTTCTCTTTCTTCTCCCCAATTTGTTCCCTTTGATTGTAGCAGTCAGAGCTGCTCCTTGTATGCAATCACAGACATACGTATGTGTATACGTGCTACGTGCATCTCTCCTTTAAGGACCTGAAGGAAATAGAAGATTATGTCCCTTTCTTTTCATGTGTTTTTGGAGAGGATAGAGGGGTGGTCAAACAGCAACTGGAAGCAAAATACTTATCAGGAGATACATATTTAATTCCAAACACTGTTTACAAGTTTTAAAATATATTCTTAAATTAGCTAATATCTAAATATGGTGATTTATTGTAGCTGGGGTAATCATGGTAGCCTTTGGGCCTTCATTTAGCTGAAACTATGTCTGGTCTTGACTTCAAGATATGCATTTACCTATTTTTAATGTTGTCAAAGACATAAAAACCTTTTGGAAAGGGAATGAGTTGTGCAGCAGAGGAAATAGTACAGAAAAGTCGATCTGGGAAAAAGCAGCAGAGGTAGGAGAGAAGCAATTTGAAAAAAGAGAAGGAAGAAAGTGGAGGAAATTCTCGTGATGGTACTGATTAAGAATTCCACATGGCCATCGTGTCAGTCCAGCTCGACTCCAGAGATGGAGTGTGCTTTTTGTTTTAGTCGCTCTCCGTAGATGTACCCAATATTTGCATTTTAGCTGACCTGGCGGGTACATCAGCCCGTAGGAAGAACCAGGGAGCGGGAATGCACGAGCTTCCAGAGCGGCTGTAAATAAAGCTGGGAAAAGCAGAACTTCCTGCTTTACAAAAAGAGACAGGCAACTTCGGGATCCTCTTAGGATCTCATGGAAGTGTTGAGTCTAACACTTTTTTGAATATTCATACATTCTCTGCATCAACCTGTAACTCTGAAGATTAATTAATGACAGAGATATTTAAAAACCAATACAGTTAGAGTGTAAATATGTCTGGAACTTTACAAGCTGTTTCTGTGTTGGATGGAAATTTTATTTTTGTTAGACAGAATTTTCGTTTTAAAATCACTTTGAACATTTGGCTTATTTATTGCTTTCTTTATTTCCACATTAGCCACAATCCCCACCCCTAACCCCTACTAGTTTATACACATCCAGTACTCCTAATGGGTCCCAGTATCCCATATTCTCCATTGAACCAGTGCATTATTGCATGAGTGACATAAAAACAGGGAAGCCCAGAATTCCTTCTTTCAGAAGCCTCAAAAGAGGGGTAAGTTTGATAATGAGTTGAAATGCATGATGGGCTATGAACAGTGTGTTTGTGATGTGGCTTTTCTAATGCTCTTCACCCTCATTATAAGGCTTGCTCTGTTAAAAGTAAGACTTCAGCTATAAGGTCATTGTTAGGATACTTTGTTTCATACTTTACAGAAGTTACCAACGGGTTAAAAATAAAATAGGAATACTCTTTATTGCATTCCAAATACTTGTGCCTAAAAGAAAGGTGTTATAAAGAGGGTGCTCAGCATGTGTTTGATACCTTTCTTCATCCTTGTTCACATTCACAAATGTTTTCCTATCATCATGTAACATATTTTTGCAGTAATTTATCATTGGGTTTATAGTCACCACAAAAAACCATCTGACAGATCAGATGTCTTATTTGCTGACTTTTAATTGAATAATACTAGTTGATTATGAGACACTGAACTAAGAAGAGAGAAATTTCATTTCTTTTGCTCATCAAATGCTATAGCATATGGTACACACAGATTTGGAAATACAGATTTTTTGGAAACATTACAATTTTAATGCATTTTCTGATTAATCAATCTTTCTTGTTTGTCCAAGGTTTTTTTGGGTAAAATTATTGAAAAAATACTACCAAATGCTACCTTTTGAGATTTATCAATTCATTTACTAATTTATAGTGGCATAGTCTGCAAACAGAATTTGTTTGGAAGACAATATAAGGGAATGTTTGGTGGTTTCCCAGCAGCATTTATAGGACTAGTGATAAATGTAGTGGCGCTTTCCTGTTACGTCAGTGAAGTGTGGGCTGCCCAGTTTGTGTACGTTTTTTGGTATTTATTGATCCAAGTAATGAGATAATTGGATGGATTTGATTATATGTAATTCTGATATTTGGAAACAATATTGACTTGCTGTCTTATGAGCATCAAGAATGGTTGACTACTGTTGACGTAATATGGAGATCAAAGTACAGTAATGTTATAGTGCGGTATTTAGAGGCTCCCTTGCTGTCATCCTGAAATATAATGAGTTATACTTAAAACTTATTTTCTTTATTTTTAAGTCATGTTGTGGCTATCTTATTTCAGGCCCCCAGATATTGTGGAAACTACCCTTTCTACCACCACTGTTCTTTAGCAAATTCTTGTGGTTCTCTAAGTATTTCTGGAGGACAGTTTCTCCTCCCCCTTCTGAGTCACTTATATCATAATTTGTTGTTGTCATGAAGATAATGTTCCTTCTTGAATGCCCAGTGATGAACTAACTGAATTAGAAAGTTGTTGAAATGGCACAGGTCCTGATTACACCCCCTTTTTGTTGATCACTAAATGTGTTGACTCCTGGCTCATAAATCAACACCTTGTAATATCAGTAGTTCCAGAACCTCTTACTGAACCAAAAGATCATCTCCAAACAACCACAGAATGCTAATGGAAAACGAAACCTTTTTTTAATTTTTTTTCCCCTCTAATTCTTGGACTTCATTGTTCATGTTATAAAAGTGAATGAATTTAATATAGAATAGTATTCTGTAGAATTAGCAAGGATCGCTAGTATCCTGCAAATCTGGATTAATTTAAATATTCCACAATATCAAACCGTTAATCTCTGTAAATCTTCAGGATGAGTATTTAGTTTTTATATATTTTTAAATTCCTTACAAGCCTTTTAACAGACATCATTATCACATATTGAGTGCCTTTTCAGCTTAAATGTATACTGTAATACTAATAGATTTTTTAAATCTTACTGATCAGTCTGATTTTTATAATATATCTTGATTCAATGCTGAATAGTTGCTAGTATAGGATGCTGTTTTCCACAGTTTTGTCCCTGGAAAATGGTGCCTAAGCAGTATTGACATGCAGAACCACCAAATGGTATTTAATTTGCCTCTGCTTCTACCAGCCAGTAAGCGCACTAGTTATTTAGTTTCAGGTGTCCTGTACAAGGTTTTGAGCAAGGCACTGGAGATGACAAAGCCAGACTGCTTCATCTTGTGCTCACGCATTAGATTTCCCTATCGTGATGTAGAGCGAAAGCAGCAAACAGCTGTAGAATAGGTTATGGAAAAAAGGCTTGATTTTCTAGTATTGCTATTACATGTTGCTTATTACCCATTGAAATCTTAGTGTTTCCAGATAGTGCTAGTGGTTCTGAGGGGTCTTTGCTCGATGCCACTTAATACATAAATAGATGCATCACCAAGTGATACGTCAACCTTAGTTGTGTTTTCTTGGAAGACTCTTTCTGAGGGGAAAAAGTTTATTCTGTAGCCATTTCACATCTTGGGACTTTGTTGATATTTGTACCAAAGTGTCGTTTGTGAAGGTGCTTTACTTCCCTCATTGCTAGAAATTGTATTTTTGTGTGTGTGCCCCAATCAGCAGCCTTAACAATTGCTGAGGGTCATAAACGATGTTGGAGATAGATCTAAGTTGCTTGGTGTTTCTCTGGAAAGGGTTATCCAAAGTCATTCAAAGTGTGGTAGATCTTCAAAGTGCTGTGAACGTTAAACCCAAGATACGACACCTGGCATCCCATGTTTTATTTGCTTCCTCTAAGGCTGAACTCTTTATTCTTTAAATGTCTTTATTTTCATCTGGACTAAAGCGTTTCTAGAATAGCAGCAACAACCCAAATGCTGTTTTCAGAAAGTAAAATCAGCAGCTTCTAAACTTTAAAAATATTTTTGTTGATGGTAGTTCTACTGTGATCATAAAGTAAAGTAAAATGTAAAAATTACATTTGTAAAATTGATGGTAGTGGATCGTTAGCTGTGATTAACAAATTATTTGCATATGGCTGACCAGTCCTTCATCATCATCGAATTCTGCTATTTTGTGCAATGTTGGCTGTGTGTGTGTTTCTTCTCCTACAACAGGAGTTCTTTACCATATTGTTCAAAACACTAAAATTCAAAAATAGTTTAATGAAGTTGTGTATTAGAATTTCGTAAGTTAAACTACCCATTATCACCTAGTAATTTTTAAAATCAGTAATTCTTAAAGCAGGAGTTCATTTCTGATTATTGTGTTTTTTCTTGTGCTTGTAGTAAAATATATTCTTTTATAAATTTTAATCCTTAAGTAATACTTGAAAGATACATTTTTAGGCATTAATCATTTTCGTAACTGGTCGTTGCATGTGAATAATTTCCCGTTTCTTTCTGTTTTCAAATGAACTGTGCAGTGGTCGGTGAAGATGGTAAGCCCGTGTGCTGATCTGTCTGCTGTACTTCTGCTAAGATAGCATGAAAGTAATCTTTTGAGAGTGTTTCCATATCATAACCGCTTTAAGTCAGGTGCTGAAACACATCGTCAGATTTTCCACTCATATACACAGTCTTCTTAATCATCCATGCTTAATGTAAGATAATTAGACTTGTGATCTGGCCGCAACTAAATCCGTGATTTTGGAATTTTAGGGTTGACCAGTATTCACAAGTTGGTCACGATGAGAAATACTTGGTGATTTCTCCTTCTCAGGAAGATCGTTAAAGCAGCATAAAATAGCTAAATGAAAAAACTAAAAAACTGTGTAAAGGAGACCTACTGAATACTGCAAAATCCACTTTGAATTTAACGAAAAAATTGCAGAGGAGATGGTCCTTCAGGCTGAGGAATATTAGAAAGCTGTCATATTAAACGAAAACCACACCGTAATCAATATTGTTGTTTTGCAGAGTAAATCAGTAAAAATTCATAAAAAGACCTTTGTTCTTATTGCTGTAGGATACTCTGGTTTCAACTGACCTGTAAGGAAGAGTGATACAGAGAATGTGATTGTCTTTTTGTTTCTTTGTAGTGTGTAAAAAGCACCTGAAAGGATTTAATTAACTTTTTTCTGCCAGAAAGAAACACTTATGCCTTATTTTTGAAACATCGTATCTGGATTTCCCTCCTTTTATGGTGTCTTGTAGTCCCTTCTTAAAAAGCAGTGAGATTATGATTTTACAAGTGCAAAAGAACCAAGGAGTTGAGGGGCAAGGAGATCTTAAGAAAGGGGTTATCAGAAACCTGGCACCTGAGCCTAAGGCCACTTGAGTCAAAGTCTGGACAGTCAAGTTTCTGCCAGGTTTCTTCTCACCAAAAGAAATGCTGCCAGTTCAGCCTCCAGGGAGGGTTACTGGAATGGCAACTGGGTTTCTTGTACTAAAACCAATTTAGGCAACTAGGACACAAATGATGTAACTTAACTTTCTGTTAGTAAGGCACGGACCATATTTCCTTCTGAACACTCTTGGTGTCTGTCACCCTGAGGGGAATTTTTACAGCCAACTCAAAAGATGCATAAAAATCTCTGCCTGTGCTTTTCACACACAAGTTCTTCCATCCTGCTTGTATTCTTGGCACATGTTTGCAATCAAACCTTTGCAGGTTTAGGCTTGTAACAATAGGTGTTTGTTTATTTAAAAAAAAAAAAAAGTTTGGGAAATAGGATGGTTTTCCCCTCCCTGAAACATTATTTCTGTAATGAAAAGGGTGACTGGGAATATTTGAGTAAGTTTTGATTCAGATTAACAAATTGAAGTCAAAATTTTGATGTTATAAAGGCTTTTTCTGCGTTCCAGGAACTAGTTTTACTTGAAGTAAAATGCATCAGAACTTTGTAAGTTTTAATATGTTTTTTTAGCCAGATTGCTGAACTTCCAGGAGAGAACTATAATAATAACTTGGAATCAAGATCCAAAATACAGTCTTTTTCTTTTGATAGCATCCAAATTGCCATAGAAAACTCACTCCAGACTTGGTTATATACATATTTTTATCATATACACATCTTAGATTTTTCCTTTAACTGAAATTACTTTGTAGTAATTAATTCTGTCCTTTCTGTATCTACTTTAAGTGCAGTGGATGTACTAGGAGGTACATGGCTCAGCTTTTCAGAAAAATAACTAAGTCTACAAAGTTTGAATTACATCTGTGAGCCAACTGTCACAAAAAGAACCTTGAAAGAATGACTATGGTCTGGCAGCAAGAACGTGTATTTATTCTGTTGTGGTCTTTTATAGAGCTGTGTGTCAAGTAGAGTTTTTTAAAGGTCCATCCTGCTTCCAGTGAACGCTGTCCGTGTGTGGGTTTGTCAGTTCAAGCTGCCCAGATACCTGCGTGTTACTTGCTTCATAGTGTTTCTGCTTGCAGGGCCCTGCACTAGAAGACTTCAGCCATCTCCCTCCAGAACAAAGACGCAAGAAACTGCAACAGAGAATCGATGAACTCAACAGAGAACTCCAGAAGGAAACAGACCAAAAGTGAGTGCGTTTTTTGGAGTTTTGTCATATTTCTCTCTCTGTCTGTTTCTTTTGAAGTCCTCGCCCTAAGCCAACAGTTCTCAGAACCTAGGAGAGAATATCCTAGTGCCCAGGGTATTACAGAGCATTTTTTAGTTTGTGGTTTATTGTATGCAGGGTCTGTTAGCATTGCTTCCTTCTGCTCTACTGTAATACACACTTGGATCCTAACATTGCGTAGGAAACGTTGGATCTAAAAGCATGCACTAAAAAAAATAAAAATCAATGTGTAGGTCTGGTCTGTTGAGAAAGAGCTGCAACTTAGTGCATTAAGAAAATAACACTATTAACATTTAGGAAAAATGCGTATAAGGAACAATATGGGAAATGGTATTGAGAGGGGAGAGGGAGGAGTCGACAGCTGGAGCCCGTGTGTGCTTGTGCACGATGTCAGAAAGGGAGGCAAAGTGCTAAAATGACAGAATGGGACATAGATTCAGGCGTGGGGTGGGGAGCAGTAGTTCCTCATGTCTGTGCCTAATACCTCATCGTGGCTCAGGATCTCATACACATAAAGACTATTTTAGCTTTAATGAATCAGTACTGATGTAAGGAGTTTTTTATAATTATTGTTGGGTTTTGTATGTTTTTAGAGATGCCCTCATCAAGATGAAGGATGTTTATGAAAAAAATCCCCAGATGGGTGATCCAGGCAGTTTGCAACCAAAATTAACTGAGACTATGAGCAACATGGACCGTCTTCGGATGGAAATACACAAGAATGAGGTTAGACTCTAAAACGATTCCTTGGAAAATAGAAATGAGTGGTAAAATTGTAGTTTGCTTATGAATTATAAACACAGCACCCAGAAAAACTACTTGATTTAAGAAAGTGCTCCCAATACAATTTTTTTTGTGGGGTGCCATATTTTCAAGTATGTTCATCAGGCTAGAATGAGGATGTACATTACTAAAGATGTAAACTGTTTAGAATTTCTTATTTATCACTCATTCTGAAATTCGTATGTGAGTAAAGATTTTTTTTCTTCTGCAAGACTAGTCTGGAGTATAGGCTAAGGATGAGGGGTAGCTTCTGGCTTCAAGTGAACAAATTATGAGACTTCACATGTGAATGCAGTCTGTGTGGTTGTCTGCTGACAAGTTAACTGTTTGCAATTAAATGCCTTTGTTAAATGGTATTTGCTGGTTTAGAATCAAGTTTTCTTTGACACCAACATTTTTCTTTTTTCCCCAAGGCTTGGCTCTCTGAGGTTGAAGGTAAAGTAGCAGCCAGGAGCGACAGGCGGCACAGCAGTGATATCAACCACCTCGTAACACAGGGCAGAGAGAGGTCACTATTCTATCTCTATTGCTTTTGTATCTGATGCTAGAATTGGTACATCTTTGATAGTTAATATCAGGGGGTGGTTATTACTTAGTTATTCTCCTTCTAAAGGAAAATCTTACTTGCTCTGAATTCTAGAGATCACTTCATGTCATTATGGTAACATAAAAACAGTCTAATGGAAACATGCACTCATTAAGTAGCAGTGCCTTTTAAAGCTCTCTTACTCCACTGCATAAGGGTCACGAGGTTTCCGTGTTCTGTAGAAACAGGTATGTCAAATTATTGTTTGTTTTTGTAGCAGATTTCAGTCCAAGCCTTTGTTAGATTGGTATTTTCAGAAAATCGCTTCCAGCAATAAATCCAGAAATGGCTTGGAGGCATTCCCAGAGCGATATCCATGGCCTGCCCCTTCTGCAGTGCACCTACGAGCTGAGTTTTAGAGCTACGAGCTCTTCCGAGTCCTCACGCTCCAACCATTGTGTTACAGCCCCGAAGGGAGTTACACGGATGATGCAAATCAGGAAGTTCGAGGCCCCCCACAGCAACATGCACATCCTAACGAGTTTGATGATGAGTTTGAAGATGATGATCCGTTACCAGCTATAGGACATTGCAAGGCAATATATCCGTTTGACGGTAAGGTTAACAACACGCACTATGACTCCTTGACTATAAGACATTGGATTATTTGTTGTAGAGAAGACAAGTAAAATGATTTAAAGTAAATTAACTGTATGAGCAACTAGTTGCTTATAAAATCAGTGGAAATATTTTATAAATCATGAGCGGTACTTTTGTGATGTTTTAAGATAAATATTAGCACAGCTATTGGCAAATATTCAGCTTTAACAAATTGGACGAGGCTTTTGTCTATAAGCCTGTTTGACCATATGTTTTCTTGCACAGATTTTTGGTTCTTCCTGTTTATATATAATCTGGAAACTATGCCCTGGGAAAAAGATGACTTGAAATTCTGTTTCAACACTGAGACTTCTTTGCTTCTTGTTTTTCCCAGGTCATAATGAAGGCACTCTAGCAATGAAAGAAGGGGAAATTTTGTACATTATTGAGGAGGACAAAGGAGATGGGTGGACAAGAGCTCGAAGACATAATGGAGAGGAAGGCTATGTGCCAACATCATATATAGATGTAACGCTAGAGAAAAACAGCAAAGGTGCAGTAACCTATATCTAACAGTAAACTGGCAACTTTCAATTGTACATTCCCCAGGGAAAATAGTGGAAAAATAGTAAGTTACACAGGTTCATGGAAAGCATGAGAATATCAGAAGTCAGCAATGGTCTGTTGTTTGCAATGTGAGTTTACTATAGTTTTTTTCAGAGATGACCATGTTAAATTATGCATTTTACACTGGTCTGTAATTGGACCAATGTCTTCTGCTTTGTTTAACTGATCTAGTATTCCTGCTTTACAAAGCACTAAATCCAATTCAGCTATTAAACTGAAAAAGACCGGGGTTCCTGCTGGTTCTATAGAATACTTTCATTTTTACAGAACGGAAAAATTACTTAGTTTTAAAGATCTCTTAAGATTTACTGTTCCCACTTTTACGACAAACTATACGCTTAAACCAGAGGTTTTTTCCTCTAATAACTAACTGAACTCAGTTACTGAAAATTATTAATTTCCTTCCTTAGCAAATACTTGGCAGCTTTCACTTCTTAAACAGGAAAATGTTTTCTGATTCTGAAAGCTCAACAAAAACACTCAGGAAAAAAACATTATGATTGAGGACAGAAAGTCCACTGACCTGCCTGTCTCCTTCCTTTTCAGTACTTGTAATGTAGAATGTTGTGTATTGGACACACCTTCATTGTTTTAACTCTAGATACCTTGACAAAAGAAAAAAAGAGATGACATGTAATGTTTGATGAGTTACTGAAACCTTTCTCTGCTCCTGAAAAGGGATTGATTTTATACTCTTAATTTGTGCCTGTAAGCTAAATCTTTGAATTGCATCGTATTTAGTTTGAAATCAAGGTCTTAAATGTACAGTAGTTCCCCTCACTGATACATCACTGAGGATTGGAAACTGCATTGCACTACTTCATTACTAGGGAAGAAAAAAAGAAAAATATATTCTAAAAGCCGTGGCTCATATTTCTAATGAGAGTTTGTGGAATTAAGTACAAGGCTAACGTGTAGCCGCTGAGAAAGGCCTGTTAGAACTGAGCACGCTTCTCTGTCTTCTAAAGGCCTTCAGTAACTTTGTTCTTTTCTTTTTCCTCTTGGACTGCAGGTTCCTGAAGCGGGTTTCTGAGAAAATGGGCGAGATCTTGAAGGAGGTTACATGCAGCTGCTGGGGGGGCGGG